CTATGAAAAGCAACTTAAATCACGCGTCAGTCTTAAGTGCCGCCTTATCGGGCATAATCGCTGTTAAAATTTGCATACTAAGGCCACTAAATTTAGTCTAATAGGTTCTAGTTTTGTGAGGTTCTAGCGAGCCGGTCAGGCTGATGGCCCCCCATCATCAGCTAACCGGAGCCACATTCGGATATATGTGTCAATAAAAGTCCGGTAATTAATTGCACGCCCCACCGAAATAGCCCAAATAACCAAATATCCAAATAGCCGGATAGCCGCCGTTTCCCAAGCCTTAAAGATTCTTAAATATATCTAAAAAGCATATGTACGGATCGGATCGGATCGCTTTACGATCGCATTAACATCAAACGCGCACATTTTATGGCCTGTCAACCGATCAGTGTCCGCATAGATCGATCGATAGGTTCAAGCTCGTGGCAAAAATCGACTCTCTCCTCTCTCTTTTATTTGTTGTTAATTTTTTAATTGGTACTGTTGAGTTTAAAGGTATTTAAGATTCTTAAAAGATATATATTGAAACTAGAATATTAGGGGAATCCCTTGTTTCATTCTCATAAATAATTTTCCCTTTATTTAATAAAACACTTTTGGTACTTGTAAATATATGTCTAAATGCAGGTAAGATGATCTAAAGATTTATTAGATAATATGGAATGTTAAAGATAATATCATATAAAATACATAATTTTATATAAATGGACAAAATGAATTCGAGTACATATAACATAATTTAAGGTATGGAATTAGTATCAGTAAACTTGACAGTTAGACAAAAACATATAGAAAAAACAATCCGATATATATTGGGATAATGGAACAACATATAGATACCATATAGAAACAGTGTATAAGCATCTATATTTTGTTTCGAATATCAAGAAAAAATGTTCCACTAAAACATCGGTTTGTTATTTTAAAAGCGGTAAATATCAAATCTTAGTTGTTTACTAAACAAATAAATGAAAAATAGAAAAATAGACTTCGAGTTAACTAAAGACCTTTACAAACAAATAAACTATTCCATGATCACCCTGCTCATAATAAGCTTGTTAACATGTAACAAAACATCTAGATAATACGATAAGATAAAGATAATAATCTCTATAAAGTAGCAGGTATTTCCCTGTCGAGTTACGCTTTGATCTTAGCTTTTTGTTAGCTTTTTGCCTTTGCCTTTTTGTTTTTGTTTAATGTTTTTTGGCCAACGTATTCAGAAATCCGACGGCGACTGGGATGAAATGGAACAGCCAGACCGGGAAGACTCGCACACACATCTCATCCTCCGCTCGGCTGGCCCTCAAATTAATATTTATATTTATTATCATTATTTTGTGCAAACTTGTTCTTGGCCATTTCGTTTCGTAGCGTTTCGTTTCGAAACGTGTTAGAAAGGCTTGGCTTGGCTTGGCTTGGCCTGGCTAAGTCGGGCTTTTGCGAAATGACATTAGAATCGGGGGAGAGAGATATAGTAGTAGTATAAAAAGTCGGCGGGCACACCGCACGAGCTCTCTTAGCTTAGTCCAAGTCGGAGTCCCAGATCTCGGTTCTGTGATCATTCAAACGGAAACATTCAATAAGACGGCCACGCTCATTGGTCATAGTAATTCATTGAAAGTGCCAAAGGGATCATCTTCCTATAGTTTAATCTAGAGATTTATTATTTTTCTGTTAGTTAAATATATAGTAATCAAAATGTTAGCTCAGTGCAAATGGATTGCCTGCGTGGCCCTCTTCCAGCTGATGATGCAATTGGTCCTGGCCAACGAGTACAGCTGGTGTGATCCCACCTTGTGCCAGCCTGGCACCAGACACATTGCCTGCCGGAATACTGGAGTGAGTAACAACTATTATTACCCAAAATTAAAATAATTATATCATAATACAAAGAAAACAATGCAACAATGAGGAATACAAGTTATTAAAAGAATACGTTTTAAGCTTTTTACTTCATCATTAGGAGGCAAAATTTAAATATCAATTGCTTTTTATAAAATGTAAAGATTATGACACAAACAAGTATTTTGAAAATGTATCTGGCTTTGTCTGCTTAATTTATTTATATGTATTTAAATTTAATCGCCATAAATTTTCAATCAAGACGGGATTATGTGGTTTTAATGGTTATTATATATCATAATTAAAGATCGATTATGTGCAATTGTTTAATTCAGAAATCAGGAACCATCTTGATAACAGAAATATCAACCTTCTGATGATGTTAACTTAGCATTTATAAACTTACTGCATTTTTAAAGTAGTTTAGAGATATAATACAAAGAATTGACTTTATATTTGGGATATAATTATACTTTAAAGTTATATTTAAAATGTATTTCTTATTTTTTTAGCAATTCCATAGACGCTGCCAGCCGGATGCCTTTCAAGTGGATGTGAGTCGGAATAAGGCGGATTTCCTACACGAACATAATAAAAGGCGAAACTTTTTGGCTTTGGGAAAAGTGCCAGGATATTATCCAGCCGCCCGTATGGCCACCATGGTAGGACTTTAATCTCCAAAGAAACCAAATCAAAAGCAGTTCCTTAATGCCTTATTCTCAGGTGTGGGATGATGAGCTGCAATACCTGTCCATGTTGAATACCCGAACTTGCAAACTGGATCACGATGATTGCCACAACACCTACAGATATGCCAACTCTGGGCAGAATTTGGCTGCTGTGTGGCGACCCAGGAGTCAGTACGTCAATGTCACCAGTCTGGTCGAAGAGGTCCTGGGTTTGTGGTTCAACGAGTATGATCTTATAGATAGCAGCTTCATAGATGCCTTCAAGGTGACCTCGATTTTGTAAGTACTAGAAAGGGGATGAGTAAGATAAATCTTTAGCAAATTGGAAGGTTTAAATAATGCCTACATTGTCTTTTAAACAGCGAGGACTATGGTCACTTTGCGGAGATGAATGTGGACAAGAACTTTGCCGTGGGCTGCTCCATTCTGAGGTTCACCCGTCCGGACTATCCCTCCGTGTACATCTACAATGTCATCTGCAATTATGCCAGTTTGTATGCGTTAGGAGCTCCGGTGTACGAACGTGGTTATCCCGCCTCCCGGTGCACCACGGGCAAGAGCCGCTTCTATCCGGGACTCTGCTCCACACGCGAGGAGTACGATCCCAATTGGTAAAAGATTAATGTGATTCCAGAGGGGAAGCCCCCGCGCACTCAGGTCCAACTGCCAAGAGTATTTAGTAAAGTTAGCTTTAACAAAAAAATATACATATAAAGAATACGAAGAACCAACAACCAATAAATGATCGCATCGATTCCAGTCACTGTTCCTTATTTTTTCTTGCTTTGAATAATAATAATATATATTTAAATCTTAAGTCGTCACCGACAGAGTCCGCTGCTGACTTCTGACCCGGCCAAGATTATTGCATAACCGAAGTTGAGTCGAGTCGAGTTGTGCTGTAAGTTCCACCAAAATAAACAATGCGAATCTACAAAGAAAGCCAGTCAGTCAGCCAGTCTCGGAGACTCTCCGGCGAGACTGGTTTGGCCCACAGAACTTTCGTTTGTTATTGACCAACAGCGGCCCATAAAGATGTTCCCTCTTCAAGCATATGCAAATTCCATTTATTTTATTTGATTTGTGCGCAGAAGTTATTGATTTCTTCTTTGTGATTGAGAACCTGTCTTTCAGTGCAAAGCTCGGCGTGTGCAATGAGCGGAAAACAAGAAGATTTCGAGATTATAACATGTCTATGGTCCGAAACTGGTCAAATGGGTCAATGTCAATGTCAGGGATCTGGCTGATGTTGTGCTTTAAAGTCACTGAACTGCGTGGCACACCCACGTTTACTTGCGGTTTTATGTCATTCGAGTCGGAGACAAGTTTTACTAGAATCTATGGTTTAATAGGTTAATTTGTTTTCAAATGATTTTGGTCTAGTTTCTTTTACTAGATGGCTATCAATATACATTTATGTTTATTTAAGGTAAATTAACATATATATAAGGATTTCCCCAGGGTTTTTTATAGACACAGACTTAGAAGTCACTGAACTGTGAACCTGCTATATTTTAAAAGAATCATTGAGTCAAGTTAGCGAAGGAGTCATTTCCGACCCAATATATCATTTTATTCTTGATCAGCATCGAAAGCCAAGTCGTTCTAGCCATGTTTAGGCAGAATAAAATGTTGACAAATTTTTTGAAAATTATATAAGGGGTTACATCGTTAAAATTGTCAAAAATTCACAAAAATATTAATTTTCAAATTTTAAAACTTGACATGCAGATTTGTTACCTGATAAAAACTAGCATAGATAGCTTCCAAATGGAAATTATTAGTTTAGTTGTGATCGATCTACGAGTCTACCCCCTGAACCAAGTATTAACTATTGGGTTTAAGCCTTCGGATTTCCGTAATTCCCCAGATTTTTTGTAATTTTAATTTTAACTTAACTAACCAAATCAAAGCTCAACAGATAACTAAAACCATACGTTTGGCTTTCTCTATATACTTTCCGACCGTCTTGAACTTCACTCAACTCTGCAACTTTAACGATCAGTTAAATAGTATATTTTTAGCCAGAGGAAGCCTAAGATCAGCTGGGAAAGTGGAGACTCCTCCCGGCCAGACTCTCTAAGGTTTAATGACCGAGTTTTCCTAGAAGTCGTGCACATTGTAGTACTGCGGTGTGAACGCTCTTTGGATAAATAAGCAGAAATAACAGAGACATACTCGAGGCAGTAATTGAATTGAGACAAAGACAACGGCCCCCGAAAATGGAAATGATTCATAAAACGTCGCTTGACCTGTCTCAAGCTGCGGTTTAAGATCGGCATCGGGATTGGGATCGGGATCGGCATCGGGATCGGGATCGGAATCAGCATCGGCATCGAATTCGGGACCAATATTGAGAGTTACCGAAAATAAACACCTGCAAATCAAAATTTCGTTATAAATATCGCCTTGACGGTGGTCAGGATTTGCATTTGAGATCCAGCGAACATGGAGTCCGGAAGAAATACAATAAACATGCGATGTGCGATGCTGATCTTGGTGATCCTGGCAACTGTCCAGGCCCACCACTGTCCTGGTGCGATCCGGAATTGTGTCCGGATAATACGGTGCACATAGCCTGCAATAATAATGGGGTAAGTCTCTAGTCTCTAGATATTTGCTGCTATTTTTGTATATTATTAACTTATTTACCTTTAGGACTTCATGAGACCTGCTCGCCGGATGCCACCATGGTGGACATGAAGCCCTATCGCTCTTTCATTCTGGATGAGCATAATAAGCGACGAAACTATATTGCCTCTGGTTCACTGCCAGGTTATTATCCGCCACTCGCATGGCCACCATGGTATGGGATGAGGAACTGGAGTATCTGGCCACTTTGAACCTAAAGACCTGCTACCTGGAGCATGATGACTGTCATAATAGCTATCGATTCCGTAATCTGGGTCAGAACCTGTGCGGCGTAGATCGTCCAGAAATTGGCCCTTAAATGTGACCAATCTGGTGGAGCAATCGATGGGTTTGTGGTTTGGAGAGCATCGACTGATCGATAGCAGCTATATAAGTGACTTTAGGCTTACCAGAAATCAGTAAGTATAAAATATAGAGGAAAAGTTTAAAACCCTTTTCATATTGTTTTAGCGTGAGACTTTTAAAGATATTTTGACCTTAATTCATTTCCAAAAAATCAAAAATCAAATGAGACAGATTGACCTTATTTTTGCGTTGATATTCTTCCAACTACACCAATCTAACCCACTTTCTTCACCTCTCTTCTTCACAGTGAAAAGTATGGACACTTTGTGGAGACGGTGGTGGACAGGAACACCCATGTGGGCTGTGCCATGATGCGTTTCACCAATCCGCAGTATCCCTTCCTGTATATCTACAATACCGCCTGCAACTATGCCAGTGTCTATGCCATTGGTGTGCCAGTTTATAATGCCGGTGAACCCGCCTCCCAGTGCCGAACGGGCAGCAATCCAGACTATCCCGCTCTCTGTTCCATCAAGGAACAGTACAATCCCAACTATAATCTATACTAATCAAGCTAATGCACCAAATAAAACCGTTAATCATATGTTTTAGCTAATGAACCAAATGAAATCACCTGCATTTTTTACTGATTAGTTTTCTTGGGAAAACTTGCCCACTGATTGATACGTAAACTTGTTGTTTATTGTCGTTCCGGCAGCTAAATTTGGCCCTGTCGCTAATTGCCAATTCAGCGGGCACTCAATTATTAATGTTAACGGAAACACAATCGAAAGCGGTTCTCGGACACTGGTTTCAGGTAAGCAAAAATGAAAAAAGATCGTAAAGAATTTAAAGGAAATCCTTAAATGGTAGAAGAAAAATAAATATAAATGTATGGCTTATTAAGTCATCCTTTGTAAGAATGTATATTAACAGGTTTATAATATTTAAAATAACGGATTTTTAAATAATGAAGATTTCTTACATTACAAAAAATGTACTAATCGGGATATATCGCTTTAGATTTTTAAATATGAAAATTGTTGGCTTTATGACTTCAATAAATATAATGGAATCTTTAAACTTTAAGAAACATTTAATTACAAATTTAAGCCACATTTATGAGACAGTTTTTAAACATTTAATGTCTTAATTAATCTAAAAGACTCAACTAATTTCCCCACCAATCATATGGGAACCGATTAAAAGTCTCGCTTTCTTTAGAAACTAATGTTACAAAAACGTACAGCTTTATATATTTGTTCTACTTTTTGAAATCGTGATGTAACTTAACTTTCATTAGTTAAAATCGCCAATAAAATTTCTTTAAAACCAATGTGCATTATTTTTCACGCCTCACCGCATGTGACTGACCTATCCTGCACTCATTACGTTCATTCGAGATGCGATGAGATGAGATGAGTATTTGCCATCAGCACGCCACTAATTAATTTTTAATCGCTCAGAATCACATTAAAAAGCTGTTAATTCATCAATGAGCCAATGAGCCAGCTGTACCCCGCCGAAAACAAACCCACCTTCCGTCCCATAAACAATGTGCACAATGCACCCGATGACGTGCACACACAGACAATCAGTTGGTGTCTCAGGAGCATATGCATCGACCAGACCCCAGACCAGGCATTCTTGGCAGTCAATTGTGGCCAATTTACGGTCCTGCAACTGGAGCTAAGGCCTAGATCAGGCCGCGACTACTATAACTAGTTAAGGCCATGTGTGTGGGATTGCGTGTGGAGCAGACAAGGGATCACAGCAGCTGTCCAGTTCGACACTGAGAAGAATGGGCATGACTTTCGCTTTGATTTATAAATTAATAATATACAAATTTGTATGCCCTAAATCTCTCTTTACAAAATAATAGTTTAATTAATTAAAAGAACAAATCCTTAAATATTCCAAGATTCTCTGTTGCACTTCCCAGTCTCCATCTGCTTAATCCCACTCTGCCCCGGAGCTCTGCCCGGTCGTCCCTCTGACTTTTATCTTGCTTTATCTGCGGCTATGCATCATAAACGAGTCTGCGTTCCTGTTCCTGTCCCGCCTGTCCCCGTCCTGTCCACACAAATCTCTGCACTCCCACTGAGAGACCGGACACTGGAGGGCTGACTGGCTGTCTGGCCGTCATTGCTGGTTATGCAAATTCCGATTACGAAGCTTTATCGCCGCCAAAATCGGAATCTCGGTCCCAGCAGCTGTCAGACGTCAGACTGTCATCCAGCGTCCAGGTGAGCGTCCAATAAAGATCTCTGTTTTGACAGTTTGCACGTTTATTGTTACTGGTTTCCCCAATCCAGCCAGACCTACCACCAGATGCCCAAGTCGCTGAACAGCTCCTCGGTGGTGGGCAGCTCAAAGTCCTCGTTGACCCATTCGGATCGCTTCTTTGCGTTGGCTGGATTCTTCTTTTCGTCGGTGGCTCCGTAATCTTTCCGATAGCCCACATCCTCGCGAAGATCATCCTCATCATACTCCTCATCGTCCTCCACGGCCTCCAGAGAGCTGCTCATGTTAGTTCTACGCTTGGGTGGAGCCAATGGCAAACCCTTCTCGCCCAACATGCGCTGCATGTTTCCAATTTCGTCCACCTGCTGTGCTGAGCCTGTGGCGGTGGCTTCTCCTCCGACGATGGTTCAGCTGTAACCTCGGCGGGATTAATGGCAGCTGGTGTGGATGCCAGGCGCACAATACGATCGAAGAGAGTGGCAAAGTGCCGACGGAATCGACTATAATCAAAACTATCCTTGGAGCTGGCGTTGGCATCCAGCAAACCGTGAGTCGAAGTGGACTTGGACCGAGTCAGCGGCCCGAAATGATGAAGCATATCGATGCCGGGAGCCATCGATTCCTCCCAACTCTAGGGGAAAATATATATATTATAATTTTTAATACTAATTCTTAATGAATTTACCAATTCAGTCCAATCCTCGATGGGCACACTCAACACTGAGCTAACAACATTGACCACGCGCTCCTCCAGGTTCAGTGCGTGAATAATCCATTTGGCCAAAGCCACGGCGCAATTGAGGTCGCAGCGCTGTCTGAAATCAATAAAAATTAGTTTGAAGTACCGCACATCACGACAAATAATGGCAGAATATCCTATAGGGTATAGAGAAGGGATTTGTGCACACTGTATTATTAGAATTTATTCAAAGGACTATAGGAACTAAAAAGAATTGTGACTTTAGAAAAATGAATATAAGGTATTTATTTTAAATTAAAATTAAAAAAGCACACAACAATTTAAATGTCCAATATACCCTTAATCAAAAACAAGAAGAGTTATAATTACATCAATTATCTGAGTGTGTTTGAGGACTAGAGGTGGCACTTTATATAGGAATGCCCTGATGACCACCTAATTGTTGGAACACTCCACGTACATGTACATACATATACTCACTTGCGCTCATCACGTCGTATCTCACCAACTTATCACCCTCCAGGATCAACTGGTCATAGTTAGATTCGATTTGCATGTAAGGGCCTCTTTGGGTTCGCCCTCCGACTGCTCCTGGAGCTGACGCTGAAGCTCTTGAACTGCTGCCACAGGTCCTCCAGTTGGTCCTTAGGATAGGAAAATTATAGGTATTACACATACAAATTTCTATCTCTAAATCTCGATTCTGACCGTTTGCTTCCTTATGCTTTGCTGAGTTTCGTAATGCACATCAATCCTATGAAGAATGGGCTGAGCTGGTATAAAGGGAGCTGCCATCAGGCGCTCAACACAGCGGTTGAGGACTCCCTTCTTAGGCTTTTTCTTGTCCATCTTGATCAATCCCGCTGAGCTATCCAGCTGAAGGGTGCGCTCTACAATACGCTCCAGGATCATGGCAAAGGTCTCGACATAATCCGATTGTATGCGTATGCGATTGGAGTTCTTCGCTGCCACCACGGTAATTACTTCTGACTGCTTCTCCAGCCCCGGGCACAGCAGCTGTAAACCCAGGCATGGGTATCGCTGTGTTCCTCTAGAAATTCCCCAAAAAAGGTGAACAACTTGGGGATGACAGCCGGCTAGTGATGCTGTAGGTCAACTTGATACCAGCCGCCTTCTGGGGCTGGCAAAGGCGATAGAACATGGACAGAGGTAGATGAGCACTCTGCTGGATGACCCTTGGAATGCCCTGCAAAGAATTCAGAAAGAGTTAAATCAGGAAATTCCATAACTAATAACATTCTTACTTACCCTAGGACTCACAAAGGAGGCCACCACTTCCACCTTGGTACTATGGACATGCAACAACTCTGCTATGTAAAAGTCCAACTTAAACTCATGACTGGTGCCCGCTGCCACGTCCACAAAGCTCAAGGTATCCTGGCTACAACGAACGCCATTCGGCATCTGGAACACCACCTGCAGCTCGGCCAGCTCCGCCTTGATCTTGCAGCGCAGCAAACCCTTGGCAGAGGGCAGCTCCTTAACGGCCACATCGGCCGGCACGTCCAGCAACAGTGTATCCAGTCATCACAGGCCTCTTGCTGGATACTGAAGCTGAGACGCACTTGATCCGCCGCCTGTTGATTCAGGGCGTCCATATCGCGCACATCCACCGCCTCCTTGATCTCGTCCTCCAGCTGCTGCAGCTCCTTGTGAGCCTGGGCGAAGCTCAGCTCCTCCATGTTTAGGGTTGCACATGAAATTGGTAGGGATCGGCACCCAAATAGCCCACCTCCAGTTGTCCCTTGGCGCCCAGAGTAACGATGCCACCAGCTAGGCCCTGACATTGGAGCGTTGAATGGCTACCGGAGCGGGAGATTGACTTGGCCATTGCGCTGCCCAAATAATATTGGCCTCCTCATACAGGTGCAGCTTGGAGGAGTCCGAAACGATGGCGGTGATCAGACGGGCTCCAGGCTCTAGAAAAATGTAAGCCAGTTAAGGAATAGTTAGATATATGACTCCAGGGAGAGACTCACCCCAGTAGTAGCCCACCACAAAGCTGTGGAAACACTTGGGAGCATAGTCCAGCTTCAGCATAAAGTTAAATTTGCCATTGTCATCCAGCGAGATGAAGTTCCGCTCGCCCAGGATCATAATATAGGAGCAGTTCCTGAAACGTGAGTAAACATTATCCATATCCAAACCATGAGGTAGATCCAGAACTGGCATACTTTCAGGGCTTTCCCTAAGTTCCATACTCACTCCTTGACTTGCACCACCCGCATATCGACAATGCCCTCGCCAACGCACTGCGTCCAGGTGGGCTGATAGCTGCTCTTAGTGACCAGCGAATGGGACAGATCCTGATAGCTAAAGCACTGCAAATCCCAGGTAGCGCTAAACCGAAAGAAGCTATCCGTGCGCTCGCAATAGGCCACCGGAGCGGGAAGGGCACGGTGACCAGGAAAACGGCACTCGTAGGAAATGCCATCCTGCTCGTAGAAGGTCAGCGTTCCATCCAAATGCACCACGCAGAAGAACTCGCGACCCTTCACCTGGCCAAAGTGACCCTGACATAGGCCAAAGGCCACACGCTGGAACTTGTGCTCCGCCTGCAACTGGAGTCGGAGCTGAGCGCCATGTTCGGCCAGTCCGCCGATAGCCAGACATTGTATATAACGATGGCGTTGGGCAAGAGCACGCCCAACTGGTTGGCATTTTCGTTGCGTACATTCCTGTGGATGAATTTGGCATGATCTCCTGCTGAAGCTTTCTCGTTCTAAAGGTTACTCACCCACTAAACTTCCCCGCATATAATCCCAGGATGGGAGCCGCCATCTGAGTCTCCAGCAGCAAATCGGTGGCATTGTAACCCCGGCGGTGCGGATAGTAGATACTCAGCTGACCCGTCTGTGAGCCCACTATGATGTAGTCCTTCTCCTGGGCCTCCAGACCAAATCGAGCGCACAGCAAGCTGGCCACATCGTACTCGTGTCCAGGATCGGAGCATTGGGCAGACCACCAGCTGCAGACATTGAACAGCGACATGTTGCTACTGTTTTCAGCTGGAACCACTGCAATTCCAATTCTGAGTCAGTTTCCGGTCTGTTGGGGTTCGAAAAGGGGCGAAAGGTCGTCATGGAAACGGACAACGGTATGGCAACCTTTGACTTGGTTCAGTCAGCTCCCAAAGATATGGTTTGTTATGTTTTGGGGGTTACATTTTAAGAGTATATTAATACAAAACCGGCACATTGCCGAGGATTTTTTGGTTTTTACATAATTTGTATTTGATGTTTATTCATTAATTATACTAAAGGATATATAAGTTATTTGTAAGTACTTAAAAAGCTAAAAATATTTATAAGGATATTTCTATGTAGTATCTGATAGATCTGAATTAGATTTACGAATATACATACTGCACTATGGGGAATTGGGGGCCGAGACCTTATCTTAAACTACGATTTACAATTTTAAAAGAGATTTACTTAAGCTATGGATTTTATAAGATTAGTAATACGGCGGCCACATGCATTGAGCTGCTTGAGAAGCGATCTATGATGATCGTCGTCTTCAGCGTCTCACTTGGCAGCGCTCTCATCATCCTTAGAGAGCGGTTCCCTGCGTTCCCTTCTTGCTCATTCATGGCTGCAAAACCAATCGACAGAAATTGAGATCAATTTAGCAATGATTGACTACTGGCTGACTGATTGAATGCATGAGGATTGGCATGGGATGAGCTATTTGAGATTGGTTTGATCTTGAAATCGGAATCACACTGATTGGCTTGAGTTTGTGGCGGTGGCGGTGACAATTGTGGCAGTTGTGGTGGTGGTGGTATTGGGATTCGAGTCTGAGTTGGTGGTAATGAGGCTCGTGATGCTCCGCCGGTGATGACGTGGTCTGGCGGCCCTGCCCATACGTTATTCTTTCTCGCTGCGTATTATGATCTTTTTCTGCACCAACTTCCGTACCTGTTGTGTTGTCGGCTGTGACACGCCGCCACCCTGTTGTTGCTGCTGCTGCTGCTGCAGACTGCTAACTGTGGGCAACGATGTGGTAGTCTGTGTAATGGTCATCACCTCAGCCGGTCCCGCTGTGGGTCCTGCAATGCTCGTGTGTTGCTGCTGCTGCTGCTGCTGCTGTTGCTGTTGTTGCTGCTGCTGCACAACCGCCAGCAGATTGCCACCGGCAGTGGTTTGCAAGCGAACAGGACTGGCATTTTGTCGCTGATTATGCTGCAGTGCAGCTATTAGCGTCTGCTGCGTGGTTTGGCCACCAGCTCCTCCCGAGGCGGCCACCTTCAGAGCACTGGCTATATTCGGACCAGCGACATGGGTGCGTATGTTGCCCGCTGCCAGGGCTTGGGCGGAGGCAGCCGAAACAACCTGCGAATAGAGAATATCTTGTTAACTGATGCATAGAGGATGTTTGTGCGAGTTAACCAACCTGAATGGTCTGCCGTTGGTTGGGCTGCGAAACAGGAATCACTCGTCCTCCGCTCGTCTTGCCTAGCACCAGGTTCGTGGTGGCCAACGTGCCCTGCTGTCCACTCCGCATCACCTGCTGGATCTGCTGCACCGTCACCGAGTTCGGCAGCGCCTTGGTGTTCTGGATATGCAGTAGCTGTGCTTGGACACTGCCGCCTCCGGCCTTTTGCTGCTGTTGCTGCTGCTGCTGGGCCTGAACCGTGGGGAGTGTGCCTGCTGTGACACCCTGCTGCTGCTGCTGTTGCTGTTGTCCCGTCGTGGCCACAATATTAGTGGCCGTCGGCTGTCCACTAGCGGTGACCAACTGCGTCATCCGACTTATCTTGCGCGGCATGGTGAGCTGCTGCGGCATCTGCAAGTGACGCATCTGATTGGGCACGGTGACTTTGATCTGGCTGCCCGGCTTCAGCTGAGGTAGGGTCATATTCACGCTGCCCGCCTGGACGGTGGGTCCTGTGGCCGAAACTGTGACACCACCGGCACTGACACTGCTCCCACTGGCCGCCGCTGCTGTGGAGGCTTTCACAAGCGAGGCAATCTGCTGCTGTGTAACCTGTTGCGGTTGACCGGCCACTGGGAGCTGACCTTGCTGCTGGCTGCTGCTGGGCAGCTGTGGTCGTTGTGAATAGAGCTCCCGTTGCCTGCTGCGCCTTCTGGGCAGCCAATATGTTATGCCGCTTTACCAGCAACATATCACCAGCACCGGTAGTCGTAGTCGTCGTTCCATCGGCGCTCACCACCTGCCGCTGCAGCTGTTGCTTTCCAGCGGCCGTCATCTGCTTGATGAACTGTGTCCTGGCCTGGCCGTGCATCTGAACGCTGCTGACCACATTTCCCGCCTGCACGGTGGTGGAGGTACCGGGCATCCCGGACACTGCTGCTACTTTCTGGCTGGTCACGTGCGTGGCCATGCTGTTGGTCTGAATAATGGTGCCGCCGGCTTGCACCAGATTAGTTGTGGTTCCAGCAGAACCACCTGCCACTCCTCCTATTGTGGCCGTCTGCGTCGTTTGCAGCACCTTCAGGCTGCGCTGCCGATAGAGCTGTATGTGCGCTCCCCTGGTTGCTGAGTGCCGCCCGGTATCACAGTGGTCTTGCCGCCCTGCTGTAGTGCGCTTACCGGAATACCCTTGGTGGTCACCAGCTGCGTGGTCTGATGGTGAGCAGCGGACGACGAGGGAACAGCGGCCAAGCGGAGCTGTGTCTGGAACTGAGCGGGACTTACGCCCTGCCCCAGTGTCGGCATGGACACAATGGACTGACCACCGGCTGTGGTGCGCTGCTGGAGGGTATTCCCTGCCACTGAAGACACAATCCGCTGGCCCCGCAACATGGCCGTGTTTAGAGTAGTCACAGCCGTGGTTTGCTGCTGCTGCACTTGCTGGCCACTGGCAGTGGTCGTCAGCACTGTGCCCACGGTGGGCAGCGTGCTTACGGATACCACCTGGGGCAGCGACTGCGTTTGCACTATGCTGCCAAGCTGCGGCGACTGACTGTTCACCGGAAGCGTGCCCTGCGATGAGATAGACACAATCTGGGCAGCACCGGCGGATCCTGTTTGGGGTTGAACGACAGCAGGAAGTGTCTGTACAGGAGTGGTGAGGACCACGCTGACACTGGACTGACCGGAACCGGACTGAACGGACTGCTGGGCGAGCTGTTGGAACTGACCCGCCGTCAGACTGGAGGAGGTACCCACAATGGTCTTGACCAGCTGCTGTGTGGTTGTCTGTCCCTGCTGGCCGGGATGCGTCCGCAGCTGTTGCTGGGGCTGGTGCAGAAGAATGGCTGTCTGCTGCCCGGTGACATTGGCGACATTTGGTCCACTCAAATGTTGGATCTGGAGCTGCTGCAACTGGCCACCAGCCGCAGGCACAGAAACCGTTGTCGTGGTGGCCGTGGGCTGTTGCTGCTGCTGTTGGACAAGTTCCACAGATTGCTGAACGGGAAGAGTTTGTTGTTGGACGTTCGCTACAGTGGGCAGTTGTTGCTGCACCACCTGTTGCTGTTGTTGCACCACCACTTGTTGCTGCTGCTGCTGCTGCTGCTGTTGCTGTTGTTGTTGCGGAGGAGGAGGTGGCGGCTGCTGTTGCTGCTGCTGTGGTACCTGCTGTACCTGCTGACTCACCGACGGCGGCGGCAGCTGTTGCTGTCCCCGCTGCTTCTCCCTAATCTTATTTGCCTTCATAGCCGCTATGTTTTGGGGCGATACCGGCTGATCATAGTTCTGAATTCCAAACTCCTGCAGCACCTCCATATGCTTGGGATTCATTAGGCTGGGGGCACTAAACTGGCGCTTCGGCGGCGGCGCCTTCTTCAGATATGCCGTCTTGATGCTATCGAAGCGGGAGCGCATGGTCTTGTAGAAGGAAGCGTTGTTGTCGCTGGCATAGAGCTGGGTGGTGCGCAGATAACGCAGCGGACTCTTGAGGTACTCTGTGCGCAGCGTAGGTTTGAGCTTCTTCTGCTTCTTGGGACTCTCCACCACCTTGCCCTCCTCCCTCGGCTGGATGTGGGTCTCGTAGCGCCAGCGGCACTGTCGCGCCGAGCGATAGGTTTTGGAGCAAAAGTTGACCATCTCGGAGACGAGATCCCAGTTGGGCGTTTGTCCGGGCGACAGAAGCATCAGGCTGCAGGGCAAGCCCTGCAAATTCACCAAAACATGCAGTATGGCAATGTCCTCGAAGATGCACCACTCAGCCATGGCCTCGGGCTCAGTCAGTGGCTTGTTGGCCGGCAGTTGCGGCTTCAGGCCAGGAATTGGTGAGTTTGGCTTGAAGCTCCCACGGAATCGCTGGCTCTTCAGTTCGCGACGCAAACGGGCCAGCTGCGGTGTGGGACGATCGAACAGTGACCTGGGCGGCACATAGTTATCCTCACGCCGCATCTTATTTGGGCGGCGGCTGCCGTCATAACCGGCATCTGTGCGCGATCGCTTGTGCTCCTTGCGGACATAGACTGGCGGCAGTTCAGACTCAGAAATGGGATCCAGGTCGTACATGAACGACAGCGAGTAATCGATATAGATATCGTTGTCGTTATCCTGCGGCGGCGTGGGCGGACACCACATCTAATCAGGATTCACAAGAAAGATTAGCACCATAAACCAATATTTAAGTAACCCGCACCTTCCACACACACTTACCGGCATCTGTTCCATGGTATTGCGCGATATCCAGACCTGGACCAAGACCACACCACAGGAGGAGGCAAGAAATTCAAAGAAAAGAATAAACGTTCCACATTATTTTCAAGATATATAGCAACTCTGTTTTGGTGTTGGTTGGGCTGGCTGATGGGGGGCTTAGAAATTAGAAACTAGTCTTTGTTTCAACATTGAACAAATATTGATGGCGTTGTAGCTTTCATTCCGAACAATTTCGTATCTTTCGTACGGCGCTTGATTGGGGATTGTACAGATATTTATATAAATACATATAACTAAAGAGGTATTACAACTCTGCGACACCAAAACAGAATTCTACATTTTTGTTTTTGTTTTACAGAACATAATATTCAACAATATTTTCTTGTCGATTTCCGCTTATTCTTTTCTTTCCTTTTCTTATATTCTTTTTAAAGGGGGATTTTTCATTCAACGCACGAAATTAGTCCGTAAATAAAAACCACAACGTCTTTTTAGTTTTCTTTTAGATTTAGCTTTCTTTCGTTTGTTTTTGTTTTGTTTTTTTTTTTAAGTTATTCTCTTTTTTGTTATACAATCAATGGATTCTTTATACTTTTAAAAGCATATACGAAATGAGTTCTCTGTTTTATTGGGTTAGTCAATCTATGCTCATAGTCTGTAGATTGTTAAGTTACGAGTACAAAATAAATTATAGAATGCAAAAATATTTAACAATTAGTATATAGAGTTAATGCCTAGACTTACAGAACTAAAGAAATTTCTCTTTTGGGAGAGGAGTGTGTGTGTGTGTGTGTGTGTGTATGTACCCCCAAGTTTTTTAATTTTTGAAAATTGAAATTTTAGAACAATAATCGAAGATGTGCCTAATTCGGATCCGTACGAATGCCTGGATGTTGGATACTGCTTGGAGCTGATGCTACCAACTAGGATGATGATATATATATACCTCTATGTACACTCTGAGATGTCTTACTATCCTAAACCAGTTGAGTTGTAAACTCTTTGGGAACCTATATATATATATATCTATCAATGCTGTGATCTCTTGATGAATTTGTTATCCTAGAACCTCCCCTCTCCCGCGCCCGCCTAACTAACTTAACACACATATTATGATAGAAGGAAACTCGTTACAGTCTATTAAATACTCGTTTCTGTGTCGCAGCAGCCCAGAGTGACAGTAGGAACAGCAATGGGGCGTTCTCGAGAGGATTCGTCGCCAACTAAAAACGAACGCAGCAGGCACAGCTAGCTGATAATACTGACTGAGGGATGATGATGACTGTGAGGCAGAGTAGGAGGATCATCACCTAGCGGCTCCGCTAGAGGACGCGCTTGGCGAGTTCGTTACCGGTGTGGATCGCAGCATCACCCGGGGTGTCTTGCTTATCCATCGATGCAACGTGTTGACGGAACCGAGGGACTTGTTGTTCGTATCGCCCTTATTTTTCAACAACGGTCGCTTTGCCGGGACTCGTCGCTGTCGCGGCTCGCTCTGCGACACCTTGGGTGTGGATTCATTGCGGGGCGTCCTCTTTGCCGCGCTTTTGTTCATTGTGCTCGGCACGGGACTCACGTCCAGTGTCCACAGATTGATCTTCACAGAGCCGCGGGATCGCGTGCGCGGCGTATGTCCAACAGCTTCGCTTTCATCGCTCTTATCCGATGCCTGCTGCTGCTGCTGTTGGTCTTTGCCATCGTTGTGCTCATCTGTGTCCGACTCCTCGCTCACATTGTAGTACGTGGAGCTCGTCATGGTAGTGTCCTGCACCTGCTCGTGTGCATTCCACCCATCCAAGCTTTCGTTTTGCTGCTCCTCATCTAAATCACCTGCTGTGGCGTAGCTGGATGTGGACTTGCTTTCGACCTCAGAATCTTCGGTGACGTTATCAACCGTTTCTTCATCCTCACCATCTTCCTCATTATCGTCGTCGTCGTCCTCATCTTCATCCTCGTTCATTTGCGATTCAGTTTGTGTGGTTGTATCTTCCTCAACGGTCGAGTCAGCTGTCTCATCCTCCTCATCGTCCACTGTAACATCTCCTGCCTCCTCCTCGTCTTCGCTATCTTCTACCTCTTGCTGGTCATCCTCATCCTCATCCTCCTCCTCCTCGTCATCATGCTCACTCTCTTCATCCCTAAGCTTCATGGCCAAGGGAGCCGCAATGGTGGCTCGCCTTGTTAGCAGCTTACTGCGTGTGGCAACTACGGCAACACTGTCCCTTCGCCCACGCTTTGGTGGAGTTGTCTTTACAGTGGCCACCACTTGGTTGGGCGCCTTTATCGGCGTCTTCAGCATCTTGCTCATGGCAATGCTAGCCGACTGCCGTTTGGGCCGCTCTCCAATGATGAAGGAGGAATCTTCCAAGACGGAAGCTGCTGCAGATGCAGCCAAAGCTGTGCGTGTTGTCTTTCTAGTGGGCGGTGATGGGACATGGGCTACATGGACAGCGCCCAGCGAATGGAGGCGAGTACGCCGACCAATTGCTACCCCCGTCGTTGTAGTCTTGCCACCCGTCGTCGCCCTCTTGCTGTTACTACTGTTCCGAGTGCTGCTGCTGCTGACCCCCGCCCCTGCTGCCGTCCCTGATGATCCCGTTCCAGATACTGCTGGAGCAGTTGAATTGAGGCTATTCTGTCGATTACCGCGCAACGAACTACTCAGAGCTGATCTCTTCTTGCTTTTACTATTATTGTTGCTATGGCTACTCATACTCTTGGTTAGCTTCTTAGCAGACTCGCTGCGCATCACCCTCACCAAGGGTTGTCGCTTATTGGAAGTGGAATCTTGTTTGGTATTAACCTGATTGCTTGAATCCTTGCGACTGTAGGTGAGTAGTTCCTCGGCCTCCGTTTCCTGCTTGAGCAGCTCCTCCTCCTTGTGCATGGCCGCCAACCGATTGGCCTCCCATTCACGTTTCTGTGCCTCCAGTTCAGCCTCCGCGGCACGCATTTGTTCCGCCGTCCAAGCCGCCCCGGTGGCTTCCACAAAGCGCATGGCATAGCGCTCGATGGGCGAGAGCTATAAATGGGTTAGAAATTGCGACATTAGTGTGTGTTCAATGGTAAAACTTTTTTAAATTCAAATATCTTCAGTGGAAGAGTGTGAGACGTTGAGTGATACAATCGAGGCGTGGGTTAAGGTCGCTTCAACTATGTCTGAAGGTCTGCCTCCGCAATGGGAGCTTGCTCTTGGCCACGCTTGCTGCATCGAAACCGTATTTAAAAACGAATTCCATACAAGAAGCAAGTGTGGCCACAAAAGTGCCTTTTGAATATTATTCAATATTAAAATGTTAGACGTTGAGTGATACAATCGAGGCGTGGTCAAGGATCGCTTCAACTATGTCTGAAGGTCTGAGTGCTCTGAGCCTCTCTTGGTGCATTGAAATCGCACTATCAGCGCATTTTCCATTAAAAGGTAGCAGGAAGAGCCCCAGTTATAATCAGACGCCATAAATTTACAAGTTTGTGTATAAATTACCCTGACTGCTAATCCCAAGCCACACTCACCTGCTTAACCAAATTCTGCATCTCCAGATCGGCCTTGCTGAGTTCCACCTGAGTGCCGTCCGCATTCGTTTCATCAGCGGCAATGGGAATGTTCTCATCAAACTCGGCCAGATCTGCGGCCACCTCAGCTTTAGCGGTTTTGGTGGCCTGAACATCCTGCTCGTCCTCGGCGGCTGCCAAAGCATGCTCAAAGGCGCGCAGCGACTGCTTCTCTGAATCTCCTTGGCCAGGTGTCATCGTTGCCGACGTGGTAGTAGTTGTCGTGGCCACAATCTTATCCTTGTCCTCCGGTTTCTCTTGACTCGTCTCGTCCTGCTCGTTTTGGTCCATCGCAAAGAGATCCTTGATGGTGGAACTTTTGAAGTAAGTAGTGGTGAAGTTACCCCCTTCGATGGCCATGTCGCTGAGCATGCGCTTTTGGTTAGCCTTCTTTAAAATGTTAACCTCGATAGTCTTTTCTGAGACCAAACGGTAAATGTGAACGTCGCGGGTCTGTCCGATTCTATGGCATCGATCCTGGGCCTGCGCATCCATGGTGGGATTCCAGTCTGAGTCGTAAAAGATCACAGTATCGGCACCCGTTAAGTTGATGCCTACTCCGCCGGATCGCGTGGAAAGTATAAAGCAGAATATCCGTTTGTCGCCGTTGAAGCGCTCCATCAGAATTTGTCGCTGCTCCACCCTCGTTGAACCATCCAAACGTAGATAAATGTGGCCATGGAAGTTAAGGAAGGCCTCCAGCACGTCCAGCATCTTGGTCATCTGTGTGAATATCAGAACACGATGACCCTCTGCTTTTAACTGGCGCAACAACCGATCCATTGTCTGCAGCTTGCCGCAGTCATACTGGATGAGACGCGGATCCGGGAACTGAGTGGTCATCGCAGAGATTATGGGATGCAGCAGAGCCAGCTTGGGTAACAGCGCCTGTCCCACCTTATCATCGATCTCCCGCTCGGTCTGCCAGTGCGTCGAAGAAAGATTTTGCACGTAACGACGGATGCGCGGTGCACACACCGAAGGAACATAGATTACAAAGTTGGCAAACAGCGGCTTCAGGTCCGCACACCTCTGCTCGTAGCTCTTGAGCAGGTGATTCAGTGACCAGCCATCTCGATGCGCCATCGCCGTGCAGCAGTTGGCATAACCTCGCGTCTGCCATGTAGATCGCTTCAGCGATCGGGTCGCATGCATACAACGTTCTATAGCGCCGCGGCAATCCGCGCCGTAGATGGGCGTGGCATCGGTACGGCGACGATTCATCATGGCCATGCGTTTGAGCGAGGCCAATCGCTGCTCCTTGCGCATCTGAATTAGCTCCTGCACCTTGTATGGGTCCTCCGCCTCGGTCTCTTCCTCCTCGGGTTCAGCCTTTCCATTGGCAATGCTCTGTTGCTTCTTCACATGCGTGGCCAGATCCCGGACGATCGGATCCCTAATCAGTTGCTGCGCTGTGCTAGGTGCTGCTGCTGTCAGAGATGTCCCGGTGCTAGTTGTGGCTCCCGACGACGCTGCGGTGGTTTTGCTAGTCAGCGTCAAACGGGCTCCAGCTGCTCCCGAATTGGTGGCCGGTGTGAGGTAGAAAAAGGGTTTGCCATCTTGCATCGTCTTTGCCACCTTGGCGGGAGTGGGTGAGTTCATTATTTGTGGTCGTGCCCCAAGCAACTTGGAGTTGCCCAACACATTCAATGCCCCGGCGGGCGATGAGGATGTTGTCGATGCTGTTGATGTTGTCACAACGCTGTTGATTACCACCGGCTTCAGAGCCATATTCACCGGATTAATACTGCCACTAACGCGTTTAAGCACCTTTCCGCTGGGCACCAGATTACGCATGGGTACAATCTTTGTGCCCTCCATCCGCATGGCGGGACTGGCACCGACCCTTACCGCATTCAACTTGATACGCTGTGCAAGCTCTGCACTGCGAACACGGACGTGGAAGCGGTACTTGCCGTTGGGACAGCGTGGCGGAGGCTGAGGAGCTGTATCGATCTCCTCGATAAGCTTGCGAGGCGGGGCGAGCAGGCGGGATTTGTGCGATACGTAGGCTGTCATGGTTTGCTCTAGATGCAGCAGCAGTAGGTTCACAGTCTCCAGGTTGATTTGCTATACAAAAACAAAGACTCATTAGTTATTTAATTGGATTGAAAATCTACGAAATAGTAAAGGGTTGTAATTCCAATCAGACAAATGCCTCGCAAATGCGAACATCCTGGGTAAAGTTTACGACTCTCTCCAAAATAGATCAAGCCCAACTATCAGTGACAGTTTAACATCATTTTGCTACGAATAAGGTTGAGAGTTAACCACTCCCTTGACTCACCGTGAACGGATCATACTCCATTATGTCGCAGACTAGACGCGGTGTGTGGAATGAAATACCCTCCATTTGAAACGGCGAGATGGTGGGACGCACCTCAAACATGTTGGGATGATTGCAAACCTTGCGCAGCTGCATCAGAACATTGATCACACTCAGCAAATTACCAGTTTGCAGAGTTTCCCGGGTACTGTAATGGGAAAATAGGTAAAGATTAGTAAATCCGTCGACTCTGTGGCAATAATCTTTGGAAACTTACTTGGCGCGACTCATGAAATCTTCGTACAGATAGCGCTGGCGATTCGACAGTCGGCACATGACCACATGCTCGTACTTCTTTGGCATTTGCTTCTCCACCTCCTTTTTAAGGCGTCGCAGTAGGAAGGACGAATCACCTGCAAGGAGCAACGATTGACATATGCTAATTACTGTGCATTTAGTTTGAAATTAAGGGTGGTGATAATATTGAAAAGATGTGTAAGAAGCGTTTTCAATGTGATCAACTTGATTATTAAATCGAGCACATGGATAAGACGTCACTCTTTCATCTGGCAAACTAACAAATTGTCATCACACGAGGCTGGAATTCAATGTGACACAGAGTGCATTTGCCGAGCTTTAGACTTTATTTCGGAACTGGAAATGTTCACAATGTAAACGGATCAAAGTTATACAAAAACTGAAATCACTTGCAATTGTGAGAACTTTGGTATGGCACACATCTACGATTTTCAAGAGCATTTAAACAAGCTGGCAAGAAAACGCTTTTAGGTGCTAATAATAATATAAGGAATTCTATTATGTTAAATGCGTTTTCAATGTTAATAGCCAGAGTAGGCTTAATTACATGGATAAGACGCATCCCCTTTATCTGGCAAACTAACAAATTGTCATCACATGAGATTCAAAATCATTGTGACACAGAGTGCATTTGCCTAGTCTTAAACATTAGTTCCTTTAACAAGACTATTCACAATGTAAATGGATCAGAGTTATTCATAATCTCAAATCACTTGCTATCGTGAGGATTGCTCTTGCACACATCTACGATTTTCAAGAGCATTTAAACGAGCTGACAAGAAAACGCTTTTAGGTGCTAGCAAAAATATAAAGAATAGAATGAATACTGCATATGTTAAATGCGTTTTCAATGCAATGAGCCAAATAGGGCCTTAATTACATGGATAAGACGCATCCCCTTTATCTGGCAAACTAACAAATTGTCATCACATGGGATTCAAATCAATGTGACACAGAGTGCATTTGCCTAGTATTAAACATAAGTTCCTTTAGCTTCCTTTAGCAGGACTGTTCACAATGTAAATGGATCAGAGTTATTCATAATCTCAAATCACTTGCTATCGTGAGGATTGCTCTTGCACACATCTACGATTTCAAGAGCATTTAAATGAGCTGCAAGAAAACGCTTTTAGGTGCTAGCAAAATATACAGAATAGAATGAATACTGCATATGTAAATGCGTTTCAATGCAATGAGCCAAATGGGCTTAATTACATGGATAAGACGCATCCCCTTTATCTGGCAAACTAACAAATGTCATCACATGGGTCAAATCAATGTGACACAGAGTGCATTGCCTAGTTTAAACATAAGTTCTTTAGCAGGACTGTTCACAAGTAAATGGATCAGAGTTATTCATAACTCAAATCACTTGCTATCGTGAAGATTGCTTTGGCACACATCTACGATTTTCAAGAGCATTTAAATGAGCTGGCAAGAAAACGCTTTTAGGTGCTAGCAAAAATATAAAGAATAGAATAATTACTGCATATGTTAAATGCGTTTTCAATGCAATGAGCTAAATTGGGCGTTAATTACATGGATAAGACGCATCCCCTTTATCTGGCAAACTAACAAATTGTCATCACATGAGGTTCAGAATCAATGTGACACAGAGTGCATTTGCCTAGTCTTAAACATAAGTTCCTTTAACAAGACTATTCACAATGTAAATGGATCAGAGTTATTCATAATCTCATATCACTTGCAATTGTAAGAGCATTGCTCTTGCACACATCTACGATTTTCAAGAGCATTTAAACGAGCTGACAAGAAAACGCTTTTAGGTGCCTAAATCTTAAATAGTTCATTTATAGTCAGCTATATGGTATTCTGCCATTAAAGGAAAGCAGAAACACTTGCAACTGAGCTTTGCTCTTGCACACATCTACGATTTTCAAGAGCATATAAAAGAGCTGACAAGAAAACGCTTTTAGGTGCTAGAATATAACATTAACATCATGCCTAAAGGTTGCTGTATTGGTCTTACCTTGTGCAATCTAGTTATCAGAGTCTCGTTGTACTCCATGTTGCCCTCAATCATCCCCGTCATCGGGTTGGAGAACCACTCCTTAAACTCGCGATGCGATGAGAAAACGTAAGGCATGAGGAAGTGCATCAGCGACCACAGCTCCATCAGATCATTTTGCAGCGGTGTTCCCGTCAGGAGTAAACGTCTATTAAATGGAAAAGAGAACAAACATACATGATAAATCCACTCGATTTAAAAGATTTCTTGGTTAGATGTTTCAAAACAAGGCCACAAGCATTCTAGGGTAGGATTAGCATGCTCTGGTTTAGTATGCGGCATTATAGCGGATTTAATTTTAGCACCCAAGCGTAGTCCCCATGCTAGTTTAGCAATCGCATGGTTACTGATTTTTGGTGCTGGCAGGCAAAGGTTAACTTTCATTGCATAAAACTTACCTCTCGGTGGAAAAGTTCAGCAGCAGTTGCCAGCGTTGCGACTTGAAGTTCTTGATATTTTGCGCCTCGTCCAGAATCAGGTACTTCCACTTTTTGCGGCGGAAACTCTGCTGATCCTGCACCACCAGCTTATAGGATGTAATGCAGACGTGAAAGGCATTCGGCTTGGTCCAGCCGACGCGCTTCAGCTTCCGCTCTTTCTGCGAGCCGTAGTACGTGAGTATTTTAAAGCCGGGACACCACTTCTTGAACTCCATCTCCCAGTTGAGCATCACAGACGAGGGCACCACAATGAGATGTGGTCCCCAGTTGCCCCTGGCGCAGGCGAGGTGAGCCAGTAGGGCGATAGTTTGGATGGTCTTGCCCAGACCCATCTCGTCGGCCAGGATGCCGTTCAGCTTCCGCTCGTTCATCGTCACCAGCCAGTCCAGCCCAATGTGCTGGTACTCACGCAGCGAGTGCTTGAGCAGGAAAGGCACAGGTGTCACCACATTCGTAGTTAAAAGGGTGTTTCCCTTGGGCTGCAGACTCTCAGCCAGAGCGGCGGCATCGTTGAGCATGTCGTCCTTGTTAGCGCCTCCTGTGGCCGCGGTGCTGCCATCACCGGCAGTCCCAGTTCCTGCTGCACCCGCATCCGTCATCAGGCTCTTAAGGCCATCCTCCTGGTCCTCTGGATCCTCTACTTCAGTGTCAGTTAGAATAGTCGAAAGATCTTCATCGTCGGAAGCATCTTCGCCGCTTTCATCTGAGGAATCATCAACGGCCGTTGAATCATCGTCCGAATCCAGATCCACTTTCCGGCGCTTGGCGCTTGGCGGCTGGTCACTGATTCTGCCCGACTTGTACTTTGCCAGCAGCTGTTCCACAGACAGATCATTGTCAGCCTCCAGCTCATCGATCTCCTTCTTGTGATCGATCTCCTGCTCAGCTTCTTCCTGCTTGCTGATGGTATTTTCATCGTCATCGCTGGCCTCTTTCGCCTCAAACTCACTGTCGTCGCTATCATCGGCTTCGGTCTTTATCGCCGAACCCTGCTCTTCCTCCTTCATGAGCTTATCACGATTCTCGAGATAACCAGGCGGCAGGTCATTGAGAAAGTCATCAAAGTCCATCTCGGATTCCTTGGCCAAAGCTTTTACCTCCTCCTTGACATCAGCTGCCTCTTCCTCGGCCTTGGCAATGGTCTCCTCATCATCTTCGGAACCAGATTCTGGCCGGAATTCGTCTGTAAAGGAGAGATTTTTTAATAAGAAGCTGTATGCTGACTATGAATTAAAGGTTTGCAGAAGGTGAAAGCATCAGGCAAATGCCTCGCAAATGCGACCATCCCAAGGTAACATCGAAGTGTTCAAAAATAGCCCACAACAACGTTTCAGTTGTATTTTATCATCAAGTGCCAAAGTCTATACCGTCTATCGGTGAAGGGAATTGCTACTTACCATCAGATTCCCGCTTGGGCGATGTCAGACGGCTGGAATTGAGACTAGGCGTATCCGCCACACTTTTGTTCATGCCCTCGGCCAACTGTTGCGAGAACTTCTCCGTCTGGTCGACAATGAAACTGAGATGCTGATCCAGAGCCTGCTTGCGCTTCTCCTCAATCTTCGTCTGGTGCTTGTACTCCACCAGTTTCTCAACATTCGACCAGAAGCTCTTCACTTCGCGCGCAATGAAGGAGGCCACTCGCTTCAGTTGTAGCTCCTGGGCCTTTTCCGCTCGTTGAGCGGCATTGGCCTTGTCCTGGAAATACTTTTGCACCATTTTGGCGCACTTCTTGGCCGCATTCTTTTTCCATTTGCGCTCCTGCGCAAAGTCCGCCGCCAGCCAGACCATCTCCTCGAGGAGGTAGTCCCAGTGCGCCTTGGGGCGGATGGGCTCCTGCAGCTTTGGCAGGCGCCGCTCAGTCCATAATCCCTCTCGCTGTAATTCCGATATGCGCTGCATCACATACACCTCCTGCTTGGCCTTAAAAGAAAACTCCTGGGCTGCACTGTTCGGCGTAGCGGAGCCAGGTGCCAATGCCGGACTGAGCAGACTACCCGATGTTGGCGTCCCGGGCGTGAGAGCTCCGCTTCCACCCAAAGCTGCTGCCGGACCATTGCCCGTGTAGAGCGGTGTGGGAGTGCCTGCTCCTCCGGATGCCGTAGGTCCGCCGCTTGAGGCATTGTTTTGTCCCTGGTTGCGACGAAGCGTCGCCGTCGATCCCACAGATGTACTGCAGGGTAACAGCGGAGTGCCACCTTGGAAAAGAAGGCAAGATAGACAAGTTCGATTAGCATACTTTGGCTACTTTAGTTACAGGAACGATCGTCGGTGGTAGAAGATCAACTCTTGGCATGCTGGAAAGTGCATCAAGTGTACAAAAGAGAGAGAGAACGCTACCAGGAAAGCAATAATAATGATGTATGAATGGAATTGAATAGATTAAACATGAGAATCGGTTGCGAATCAGTTGCTAAAACAAAAGAGATGGGTTCTTCATGCAAAACTTATTCCTAAATGTGGTGCCCGAATTCAATGCAGCAGCTGCTTGGCAACAAGATCGCTGCCACATGGATAAGCGGAGCACCGATTGCATATTTTCTCTGGCAAGCTTATAAATTGTTATCACACGGGGTTATAGGTTAATGTGAAACAGAGTACGCTTGCCTTGGACACAGGTGCCCATAGCTTTCTCTATAAACTTTGTCCGACATCTATGGAATCTCTTGTTGTCAGCTATATGGATGCCTGCCACTGATACAGGCCGAATCACTTGCAACTGAGCTTCGCTCTGGCACACATCTACGATTTTCGAGAGCATTTATTAAGAGCTGACAAGAAAACGCTTTTAGGTGCGGGAATTAAACTAGACTAGAGCTAATATGATGTGACAGGATGATGATGATGATCGTATCCCCAACAACCGCATGATAAGTTTCAAGAGAAACACCTTCTCTATAGTTACTAGTTATGCTAACTTGCTTACAAAATCAACGCAATCAATCAAAGTATACAATTATCAATTATTCATCGATTAAGAAATGAAATCAAACAGTCGTAAGCAGCAGATTTACCAATATCAGTCAATCAAAACTAAGGGCAGTATATTATTATAACACCAATTCTAGGAAACAGTTTACAAATGAAAACAAAGTAAGAGAATTAATTCAATTTTAAGGCACATCAATCAATGAATGCACTACTTTGCTTGGCAAATCATAAAATATATATATGCTTCAATAGGTAAACACATAAACTTGCTTTTATATAAGATAATAGAACACAAAAAATTAATACAATTTTAGTTGTGTAATAATTTTTAAATAATTTTTGTTTTTTTTTGTTGTTTTTGCGAACGATAAGCACCTGGCACCAAAGGTACAGAAGGATTTCCTACGGCAGCAGGAGGAGCGGGTATTTGACCAAAGACCATACCGTGACGACCTCCTAAAGGTCTACCGGGTATGTGACCTATATAATAACGATAACGGATATACAATTATGGTGAGTTTGAGAGTGATGTGTGCGTTAAAGGAGGATGGTAAGGAAGGCGTCAGCAATAAAATGTGAAAACAATAAATGTGAAGTCGTATAAAATACAAAAATTTTGTTAATCATAAATAGCATTACAACGGACAGGATTATGTGTGGCTATATGTTGCATGTTATTTAATACTGTGTTGAATTTGGGGTAGTTTATTAGTTAAACTTTAGCTTTGTTATTAGTAAAATGCACATTACGATGGCGGCCACAATATATCGCTATCATATTTGTCACAACTTTCGATTTAAGTGCAGGACGTGCGTTTTCGCGGTTTTTACGCGGTTTCTTCTCGGAGTATAGGAGTTGGTTATAGTTTTTGCATAGATTTTACAATTTGAATTTGAACAATCATAATAACAACGAAAAATACATTTTTCTTTCTGGTTAAAACGAACACAACAGAAACACAAAATAAAACAGGGAGCGGAGAGAGAGAGATCAGTAATGCCATGGTGAACACGGCGAATTTACCTTGCTGCGTTAGCTGGACAACGGCGGCGGGTAGCTTCGTCGAAATGGCCACGGGAGTGGCCCCAACGGCTGGGATTTTAATCTCCGCTTCCGGTGGCAGAACATTACCGCTCGCCTCGACCGGATTTCCACCAGCTGTGCTGGTAACGGTGGCACTACCAGTAGCAGCAGTACTTAAGACTGCTGGGCTGCTGTTGTTTGCGTTGCTGGCTGTTGTTGCGGGTGACTGTGAGGCTGTGCTGCTGCCAATCTTGCTTGGCACTTGAGATTGCGTATTCTGTGGGAAGATACAGGAAAACCCAAGGATTAGTTTATGTTGAAAAACCTTAAATCAAATCAATACGCTATGATTCATTCAGACAAATGCCTCGCAACTGCGAACATCCCTTTAAATTCGCCAGAACCAATCAAAAATAGATCGGTAACGGCACTCAGTTGAAATTTAACATCACTAGAATAACTTTTAACTAAAGAATAAACTAAAGGATTCTAACCGTTTTCAGTGTGTTACTGCTACTGCTTCCAGCCAATGTGGTCGCTCCTGTGCTGGTTCCACTGACCACCGTCGTCGCCTCCACAGAGACTTGCTGCGGCGTACTACTTTTAGTAGGTTGATTTTGGGTTGCAGCTGCTGCTGCTGCCGATGTGCTCGGCTTATCCTCGTGTACCAGCTGATCTATACGATTCGCATTGCTGTAGCTGATGAACTGCGGGGTTGGTGTCTTCTTGCGCCACGCAGGGTAGTCCATCATACTGCCGCCGTTTTGTAGGTAAAAGTATTCCGACACATTTTCAAGATGCCTTGATAAGGGACGGGAAATATATGAGCCACTGTCAGAATGATATGTAAGAAGCAAACCCACCTTTCCTTAAGATTACGCAAAATCTGTAACTTCTGCTGCAGTATGCGCTTCTTGAGCGCATTCAAGTCCTGCAGGGCCGTGGATGGAACCCCGCTGACCTCGCTGCTGGCAGCCACCGATGCCGGCAACAGGGAGCCAACAATATTGCTGCTGCTGGCGCTCCCAACGATGTTTGTCTCGTTGTCCAGACGCTGACGCTTGGCCTGCGGCGGCGATACGGAGGATTCTATGATGTTTTTGGTGCTGGAGGCAGAGTTGGAACTTGTGGAAGTGGAGTGGAAGTGGGCGGGCAGTAGTGCTGCTGCTGCTGGCGTGGCTGCCGTTGCCTCTGTCGTTTGCTGTTGTGGCGGCAAGGGCGACAGCGGCACAGGCAGCTGCGCACTGGGCAGCTGCTTCTGTTGCTGGTGCTGGTGCGGCTTGCTACTGCTGGCGACTCCCTTTCCTTGGGGCGGATAGTGATGGTGCTGATGGCGCAAAGCCGGCAAAGCTCCTGCTCTGTTGCCGCTGGGAGCTGCGCCTGCTGCTGCTGCTCCAGCTCCGGCTAAACTAACTGTTGTTGTTGTTGTTGTATTCGTGGGTTTGGTGTTTGTTGCAACTGACTTTTCGGTAGAGTGAGAAGTTACGCGGTCTGACACAGCAGGAGGGGCCGGGCGGAGCCCTTCATGCCCCCCTCCTGCTGAATTACCTTCATTCATGTTTGAGACATCTGCAAAAGAGCGGAACGGAAAGAAGGGTTGGATGAGTTCCCACTATTGAACTGACATCCGCTGCTTGGCGGGAAAATTAAAATTAGCCGGCGACGAAGCACATGTGCCGCTGCTGCAGCCCTGGTCAGACTTTAAACAAACACACACACCCAACTTCTTTAAAACCGTTCATTAACGCTGCGTAATGTCCACTATTAGATAGAAGAAAAAACGAACAAATAAAGCAAAAGTCATCTTTGAATAAAGCGCTTATCACACACAATTTCCCATCTCACCCCGCGCTCACAATAATAAAATGCAACCCTGCGGCACGTAGTTTTCCGTATCCCGCACACAGGCACGTTAGCAGGTACCTAACTAATGAAATATTATATGCGAGAAAATTATTTTCCATCCATAAAATTTTCCATTGTGCGCTGGTTTTTTCAAATTTTCACCAGATTTCAACGCTCAAAATAAGCACTTTACACACACACAGCCGGGATGCGCAGTCCCCCTGGTTGGAAAGAGATGACTATATGCAACGAGTATGGCGGCGTGGCTTCGTAGTATTGGTGTGCGCGTCGATTCTTTCCGCGGGGCGGACATTTTTTTTCTTGCAAAATTACCTCAGACGGGAGAATTTTAATCACAAAATATCCACATCTCTACGAGGCATCCGAGCATAAAAGTGGCGCGTCCGCGTTGCAAAAATTGTGCCGCACTCGATAATCTAGAATTGAAGGCGGATTTCCTGCACATTTACTGGTTTTTTCTTTTTGCAGAAAGTGCGATACAGGCGCACGTCTGCTCTTTTCAAACAACAACAAAAAGTGTGACCATTTCTCGGCTGGCAATAAACACCACAACAATATCTATCGATTTATTTTTATTGTTATCAAACATCGATACCCCGTGTTGTTTTTTCTCACCGCTAGGATTTTTGTTATGATGTCAGCGCATAAATAATTTAAACTATTTTCACGTACTATTTGATTATTGTATAATTTAACTCCCTTTTCACTCGGCTACACTTTAAGTATTTGCATGTTTATAGATGTGCAGTAAATAGTTTCAGCGTTGTGTTCCGAACTCGAGCCCATCTAGTCCGTTGGGTTTTGGATGACGATCAGGATGAAGTCCTTGTCGGGAGCCACCATGATCTCGTGCTTCTTGGAACGCACCCGCAGGAATGTCATGTCGTTCGAGGGATCCAGATCCCTCACCACACTCCGGGCCTTGTCCGCCAGCTGACTCATTAATCCAGCGTACTGGACGGTGGTCGTGTTGTCCAGCGTTGACTTGACCGGAATTCCTAATGGGAAGGGGTAGTGGAATAGGGGTTAGGTGGTTGGACTTTTGGTTGCCAAGCTTCCGGAAAGGGCAGTAATAACACACCCACACCCACCTTCATTGTTGACCACAATTGTGCCCACAACTCCTTTGTGGCTCTGGATGCGCTTCAGGGTTTCCTCAACCTCTTGCGACTGAAATTATAGATGCACGTACTAAATTTATGTTTCTAGCTTATAAACCATTTACTTACCATGTTTAACTATAATTTTGTCGAAACTTTGGCCAAAAACACTATTTTTATGAGAAAAAGTTTGTTATTATGCCGGTGTGACCACCTTCTGGGAGCTGATAAATACCATGTTAGTCAGTTGAAAAATACCAATTATAAATAAATTTGTAAATTAATAAATTGTGTTTGTTCATTGATCATTGAAACGGTAACCATCGAAATTCCCATTACTCTATTAAATATATTTAAGTTTATTTTCAACAATTGTGTTATTCTATAATTAATAAAATAATGACCTTTAACCCCTCTTAGACACTCTTAACAGACACAATGACCCATATAGCAACAGTCTCCTGTGGAAACGTTCCTTGGAAACAAAAAAAAAAAACAAAAGAAGTGGGTCATATACAATTAGAAAACGCACTTTATCAAATATATTAATTTTTAAAAATGTTTCTCGATAAACCAGAAAGAGTAAGAAAAGTAGATTGTTGTTAAAGACTTTTTATTTAAGTTATTTTAAAACCACAGCCCCCTCGAACCCTACGCTATGTGGAAGAAGCTTTTAAGCAGGTAAAGTCAAGGAAAAATGTTCGCGATGTGGTTATTCTTAACGATTCAGGACATCCGGTAAAAAGTTCGATGCATAGGGACGACGCAGTGTACTTTTCGGGGCTTTTTCAGGCTATCCGAGGAAGATTAGAGCGTGGAATGGCAAAAATAGATCCCACAGATGAACTTCTTATGCTGCGGGTTCGAACAAAAACCAATGAGGTACTTTTGGTTCCGGACTCAAAAATTACAGTTCTTGTTGTTCAAAATGCCCAAGATAATTTCGAAAATGGAAAACCATCAATTTAATGGATAATAAAAACTAAAAGTATGACAAGCAGTTTAATAATTAGTTTATATATATACCCTCCATTTATTTAAATTATTTTCATAACTAACAAAATAACCGAAATATCGTATTAATTGTATTGATCTATCGGATACGGTCACTCATCACTCTTGATAATACCAAAAAAAATATCGCAACAAAGTTTGGGCAAACTAAATATCGATATATCAGCGACCGACAGTCAACGACAGATAATTCTGTTAATTTACGCTGGGATGAGAGCAGGATTTGAGAGAGAATTCTATTAACTTACATCCACCCAACAGCTCCCAAGAGAGCAGAGAGAGGATATGTTACGAATTTGACATTCCAAATAGTAATTCTACCCCATGTATGAGAGTTCTACATATAAAATGAGAATTCGACCGTTTGTATCTGTAAACGTGTAAAATTTTTATCTAGACGTGCTGAATGTAAAATGTTGAATAACAGTTTCGGAAACAGAGTGGCCAGACAAATTATTTTAATATTTTGATATACGGCAACACTATTTTGTCGCTTTTCGTTGTTGTCATTTGTTTTTCTTCCGTTCAATCCGCCCGCGTTGTGAAAATAAAAATAAAACACAAAACCATTACAATTGGAATCGCGAGCAACAAAAAGCAACAGCGGCAGTAGCACCAAAAGTAACCGCGGGGGCAATAGTTGGATTGCGAATTTCTGGTGACGTCGCCGTCTTGCAGGGCGTAAAAGGCAAGAGCAAAGCAAACAAACGCGAAAGCGTAGTAGCGATAAACGAACGTGAAATACGCAGCAGATAAAATACAATAAGAGCAGCAACGTCACGAGCACACAAAGATTTATTGCTCAAGTTTAAATCTATTATTTTCGGCATCTTTCGCGAATCGCGGTGGCCGTGTATGTGAGTGATAGTGCGTGTGTGTTTGTGTGTGTGTGTGTTTGAAGAGCGCCGCCTCCCAATAAAAGGAATATCTAATACAACGGTAAATGCAGCGCCGGAAAAATGTGCAGCCTGACGCTAAACAACATGGTCAACGTAACGCAGCAGGACCTCCACGATCTATTGGAAATTTTCGAAAAAAAATCATTCGAGGCGGCGGCCTTTGAGGAAGGAACAGCGGTAAGTTTATATCTATGTGTGTGTGTCGGTGTGACATACATTTGGGCGCACGTGCACGTGCTGTCGCCGCCAGAAGAACAAACACACACAGTCACGAAAAGCTTGGCTTGGTAGTGTGCGTGGCGCCTACGACGAGGACACGTCAGATGTCTGCCCTCCTACTCCCTGCTTTCCTTCTCTCTTCCTCTTTCCCGTTTTTGCCGCGCCCCAAAAAAATCCTCTGCCACTCAAAATGGCCGACATTAAGCTTGCTCCGAGGAAAATAGTCTTTTCATGGAAATCAATAGGCAGTAAAAGCCGTCATTAGGTTGTTCTAATGGATTAAATTCGCCAGGAACACTTCACAAATAAGCCGGTTAGAGCTGTATTAGGCCAACGAAAGTGATCACAAGTCGTTAATTATCATCTTGGTAATCGGGAGATTAAACTTATGATTTTGTTTGTTTTGTTTTTTTTTTTCTTTTTAATCTTCCCCGTTTCGTTTGTGATAATTTTTTGTACTTTTATTTCTTTAATCTAATCTCTATTGTGGTTTTAAAAATGTGGAAATGTCAACCGCAAACCATTATATTGCATTTCTTTGTTTAGGTTTGGTAATAATACTTGTATACCCTTTAAAATAGTATTTTAATTTTAGTCAGAAAGTTGAAACAAATTAAAGGAGTCATTTCGACCCTATAAATCATATATACTCTTGATCAGCATCAACAGCCGAATCTTTCTAGGCATGTAGAAAAGAAAATTAAATTTTGAAATTATTTTCAAAATTTTTAAAGGGGTTACATTGTGAAAATTGTCAAAACTTGTTAAAATTTTTAATATTTTAAAATTTTAAATTAAGGATGCAGCTTTAAAAACCTTAGGAAAGCTTTCCGAATTAAAATTAATGCTATTTTAACTTAGTTATGAGCTTTTTAAACTTTGATATGTCTAAAATATTGTTATATAAAAATAACGATAAAAAATTGACCAAAATAAGTTTTCTTTCTTCTTTGTTTTAATATTTTTTATCAGAATCAGAATTAATAATCATTAATAATTAAACCATGAAAGCTACAGGTTAATTACTCGTTTAATATTTAAGGTTATTTTTGTGAATACTGTTAAAAATAATTCTTTGTTTGTACTTAAAAAGCCCTATTTTCTGATTTATTACCCGTTGATTTTCTATGTACAAATATCCTGTGTTGTCTGTAAAGCAAATTAATAACATAAAGTAAATACCTTTAGAACCTTACATCAAATATAAATGAATTTTGAACACTTTTATAACTGAAAAAGACTGGAAACTGAATCTTAACCAAAACTTAATGCTTCACAGTAAATTACAAGGTGCATTGCATCTTCTACTCCTCCTCTAAGTACGTCTTAATTAAATTAAGCAAAACAAGTAAGCCAGTTTTCAAAACCGGAAATGTTTCCTTGGGTTTTTGTTCTCGGATCGTTGCTGAAATTCAATAACACTCTGCACACACGTGCTCTGCTGAGCGGTAATTAAAAACACTTAATGCCCTTTTTAAGACCCGCTCTCGATTTACGCATTAATGTGCATTTTCCCAGGCACGCACATTTGTTTTGTCTTTTCTTTTTCCTTTCTCGTGGAAACCTCTTAACCCTTCAACCCCCCCGCTTGAATGTCACGCACGCTGCCTTAATGGTCGCGAGTGTGTAATTCCGTGTTATCGCCCGCTTAGCCGGCAATTGCAAATAGCAAATAGCGAAATAATAAAATAACAATTGAGTTGGCAACAACACAGCACATTTGCATGCCCGAGTATCTAATGCCAGGTAAAAGCACCTGGAAACAGTGCGAGGAAAGCCGCCTTGTGAAGCCTTGGCACGTAACTCACGTTTTCCGAGCGATGTGAATGTTTGTGCAGCTGAAATGGTCGTCATAAGCTGGGTCGGAAAAATTTTTTTTTGAAATTTGAAAGCTGGAATCGTTTGCCCATCGTTTGCCCAGTTTGCCACTTTTTACTTTTTTTTGCCCACGTCAGGAAAAACGACTTGAAAGATTTCATGATTTCAAAAAACTAGTATGACTTTCTTTCAAGTTATTTTCGCGTTATAGATTGGAACATGCAATATTACCATGCGTGCCCGATAGCCCAAACCTTAGAATCAGAAAGATCGCCGAGCGTTCAAGTTTAGAAAATTTCGATTGTACTGGGAAATTTGCATTAATGGTGAAAATTCTAAAACTAATGTTTGATTGTTGATTTTTGCCATTTAATGTTTTCGATTTGCCCAGCTTTATAAGTATTTACGTTAAATTTTTCAACTTTGAAGTATTCACCCCTTTAAAACTTAAGCTTTTTAACAAAAAACATTGCACCTCTTAAAACTAAATAAAGTTGCCCACTTAATTAAATATTTTTAACAAACGATTGCCACTCTTAAAACTAAAAAAAATCTTTGCCACTCTAAATAAATTTTTAACAAAAATGATTCACCTTAAAACTATATGTATTATACAGCAATCTCAAAAATGTTTGCCCACCCTCTAAAATTAAATATTTTTAACAAAAAACGATTGCCACACTCATTCAAAAAAAATCACATTATATGTAGGTTTGCAAAAAAATTACATTCAAGTTGTATTTGCTAAAAAAAAAATACATTTACTCCTTAAAATCGCAGTAGACGCCATCGTTCGATCGTTAGACAATCATAAGTTTTTCCGTTTATTTACCAACCTGAAAGTTCCGGCGGAACTCTTCCTCAAAGTCAGCATGCTGCAGATCCAGCTTTTGGAAGTCAGTGCAGCCCTCCTTCTCCAACTTGGCCTGGGCCCACAAAATCAGTTTGATGAGGAAAATCATCCGAGGCTCCATGGGACCATGATCCTTGCCCCTGCTGGCCGTCTGATGGCACCTTAGCATGGCAGAGTTTATCTCACCTGCGACTTTCTGTCGGTAGGAGTACAACATAAGCTCGCCAAAGGGACTGTTCTCAGGCCGATCAAAGGCCAGCAGACCCATAGTCCGCTCCACCTCCTTCTTACGCTCTGGATCTACCTGTGCGAAGCCGGAGGACGGACTCTGGGCAAAGTTCAGGGCCTTAGTCACCTTTTGATCCCTAATCATTTCGATTAGACGCAACTGCTGCATGTGAAAGTACACGTAATTCTCCGTCTCAAAGATGCAAGGATAAATGCGGCTGGCCAGGTCCATGGCATACTTCACTTGACCCACACGCACAGCCTCCTGGATACGCATTCGATCCACAATGGTGTCCATATGGGGGCCCGGCTCTACATTTGCCTCGGCCATGAAACGCTTGGCGGCCTCCTGATAGCCCTCTGAAAAAAATATGATTTGATTAGAAAAGAATGGGAGAATATGGAGTACGACACACCTGAGACCAGGTAGTTCATTACCAGGCGATTAAGATCCATCTGTCGGCACTGAAAGCTTGCCATGCGATGGGGCCAGGAAGTCGGAGGCTTGAATTCGGCCATCTTGAATTGATCTAGTGGATTTTAGGTACTGAAAATGGAGAGGTCAAGGTTTCTGATTAGTGATATTATATGATCACTCCGAAATAGATTAATATTTTTAATACAAGAAAGTAAAACAAGGTCATTATTGAACCTTTAGTTTTGTATATGTTTTTCTGTGATCATTTTATTACTCTAATATATCTAGAATGATTATAATTCATATAAAAACATTTGCCATTTATCTTCTTAACAGCTATTTTAAGTACAAGGAATCCAACAGTTAAAAATCTCGTCAATTATTCCGTCTCTGTCGCCATATAGAAAAACATCATCCCCCATATGGCAGTACTGACGATCTGTGTTGTTCATTATATCACTTTTGATTTCAGCAAAATAAGCAAAATTATTATATGTACTATTTTGCACTCTTTTTGTATTTGGCTCAGACGTGTTTATTTTTGAAATGGCATTGAAATAAGCTGCTGCAATTGCAGATATAGATGCAAGTGTGTATTATTTGGATTCGGTATCTGTGGGAGGGCCATCTGTCTGTCTGCTCGCGTGGGCGCCAAAAGTAAATTTCCGAGGCAGCGGCTCGCCGCTGTTTGCTCTCCCGGCCAAGTGAAAATGCCAAAAATAGCAGGAAGGCGAAGGCTTTCCTTTTTAAAAATATATATCTTGATTTCGTAAACAATCTTTTTTAATTGCTTATCTCAAGCTTTGTTTTTTTTTTTTGCAACTTGCTTTTTTTTTTGTTTTGTTTTTAATTTGCACAGTGCCAAATACCCACCTGTTGTTGTTGTTCTTTTTGTTGTTTTAGCTTTTGTCAATTGTTTTTTTGTGTGAGTTGTTTAGCTCTTTCGAAAAAACGTATGGAAAACTTGTAAATTCCAGCGAAGCTTGCTACGCATCCAGGCAACTAAAAGGATTTTCTCTTATTTCCTCGCTTCCTTCGGCTGGTTTTCTGGCTTTTCTTGTAGATTGTTGGCTTAATCGCCACCAGAAAATCGACCGGAGACGGCCACGTTGCGAGCGCTGCCTTTGGCGCCTGCTGGAACACTGTCCTGGTCCCAGGACCTGCAGGATTAGCCAGGCTACTGCAGCAGCACTCCTCCGCATTAATGTGTATCCCTCCGTCGTTGTTGTCCGTGTGATACTTCCAGTCTGCAGCTCGTTTCCAGTCTGGAGATTGCACTCCATTCGGGGGTTGCAATTCCCTTCCAGGGGACAGTGGAGCTGCGCTAAATGTGACACGAACGATTATATGTATTGTAACCTCCCTGTTGCTCCTGCTCGCCTGTTGTTGTTGGCAGCAGTCTGTGCCGAGGCCACGCCCCCGTCCAAGGCCACCCCTTTGCCGCACCTGCAGCCGCCGCATCCTGGGGAGTGGATGCAGCTGTGCTGCAAGCCGTGCGGCGTCATTCGTGTGGGCGCTTTGGAAATTGCGGCACAGGCGCGCAGGAATCCCCGGAAGAGCGGAAGGAGTGCTAGTGGAAGACGGTTTGTGTGTGTGCCTTCCACATTGCCACAAATGCAACCAAAACGCTGCGCCACAGTGGGCTCACAATGAAAGGTTCTGTGAAATGAAAAAGTATATACATATAAGTTGATTCATTTTTTGAATATCTTGAATATCTTTGAGAATAAGCATAGAGAAGGAAAGCTCTCTGAACAGTTTTATGAACTAAAATTTAGCTAATCTATCTATCAAACTTTAATATATAAATAAAGCAAAGGTTAATTGCTTTTTGGGTAAATACATCATTCTTTTTTTCCAAATGCGTAATGACTATATTAAAATTGGCAAGGCTAAAAGCCTTTGTTTTGATTGATTTTTAATGTGTGTTTTGTGGCAGCATGTCAAGCATGCCAAAAACCATTATTGTCTGACATCAGTTAGTGGGAAAGCTGCGAAAATAAAGCTAGCATGAAATGCGGGTCAATGTCAAAGTGCTTAATTCTGTTAATTATGAAAAATGGCACACGCATGCATACACAAAGATAAAAATAAATGGTCAGAATTTATAAGTATTATACATTTTATAGTAAATAATTTATCTTAAAACTTTTATTCTGACCTTATAAGAAAGGGTTTTATGAAGTAAAATTAATAATAATTATTAGATTTGTTTTATATATTTTAATTTGCAAATCAATTTCTGTCCAACCCATTACCACTGTGCTTTGATAGTTCTTGGAGGCCAGCTCCCTTTTATGATAGCCTGTTGCACTTTGAACTTTGCGCCCACGCGTCTGCATGTGTCACCCCCGCTGGCCCCTTTTCGCCGGTCTATGTGTGCCTCTGTGTGTGTAAGTGGGTGTGCCCGCTAGCCAGCTGTTGCTGCAAGGTGCGTGGGTCGCACCGCAGACACTTGTGCCAGGTGCCCAGGAGCAGTAGCAGTAGCAGCAGCACCAGCACCAGCAGGGGATCAAATAGGACGGAGCAACAAAGGGGACAAAAGGGCCCGGCTTCAGCTGCATCTGGTTGCCGTAGTAACGGTGTTTCCAGCTCCTAAATTGGGGATGCAGGCAGCAACAGCATGCCAAGCGCATGTCCGGAACAGAGAGGAGAGAACGCAAGAGCAACAGCAACAGCACCAGCACCACCACCAGCAGCAGAGTTCGATTCGATTAAGGGCCACTCCGATAGATGATGGGGGTTCCAATGCTGCTTCCAGATGCATACCCTGCACCTCCATGCTCAAAAGTCAGCCGGCGCTGGAACACCCTGCCGCTGCTGCGGAGCTTCTTGCGCTTCCGGACTAACTGCCTCGCATCCGGGACCACCATGCAAGCATGATTAGAAGAAGGGAGCAACTCTCCGTCAGTGCGGTTTCTGTGGATGCTGCGGAATTTGGTGTGCCAACTGTTTAATTCTGGTCGCCTGCTCGCTGGCAGATAAAATCGATAATGTGCGAAACTGGCAATGCCGTCTCCGGTGTCAACTATTTGCCGGGAGTTGGCTGGGCTTCGGACTCGTACTCTCGCAGAGGATGGGTTGGATGGTTGGTCGGCGTCTGTATCGGCTTGATTATGTTGGGGAGAGGGGATCGGGAGCATATTTAGGGTTCGGTCTTTGTTGTGGTTGGTTAAAAAACAGGGGATGTTGCCTCGAATAAGGGAAGGATTAAGTTGTGTGTTCGAATGTATAATATGACAACCAGGATCCCAGCAATTTTATTCTCTTGAAAACAAAAAAAAGTCGTTAGTCTGCTGTTTATTGATTTTAATTGGTGGACTTTGTTAATAAAGCACTTGAAGAAATAATCCACTTGGACAGGCACTTTACAAATAATTATATTTATTTTATGTTTATTTATAAACTATATAACCAAGATTATCACAATTTATCTTATATAGCTTATATTTTCTTATGAATAATTAGTTGTAACTTGCAATAAGTCTCTCAGAACTTATAATACTAAGATAAATAATCATAATTAATATTCATATTAGAAAATTCATTTAACAACAATAATATGTTTAAATAAGGTTTACAAACATGAGTTTTTAGCATTATTTTTATGCTTCTACAAACCTTATCCCCCTCTTATGCTATCCTAAGTCATTGCCAATTCGTTTGGATTATTCAGATGACCTTCTTTTCACATTACACTGAACTAGCTGCTGGGAAAACAGAAGGAAAGGAAAGCGATCGGCGCCCCAAATAAATCAATTCTGGTTCTGTGTCGTCTGGTGGGAACAAGGGAATAGAGTGCGTGTGTGGGCGAGGGAAGTGAAATCTCTTCCTGACTCTCGACTCGACTCGGCTGGCGAATAAATTAAGCGGATGATGAATAGATTTCTGCAGTTCCCCCATGCTCATTGTCCGTAACGCCCACTTGGCTGGATGTCATTTATTGCGCTCAATTATCGCGAGTGCGATATGTCTTTTTATGTGGGGGCAGTGAGCGAAAATCGCTTGTGTTGTTGGCCTCCTCAACATGGCCCATAACTTCCGGCTCAAACGTGTTTCTTTCAGCGGCTCCATCTCCAACTCATCTCCCCCACAAAGCGGTTTCAAAGTCTTTCGAAAGTTGTATCTCACACACTGTCGCATGTTTTTCACCCATGTGGTATTTATGTGCACTCTAGAAAAAAAAAATCGAAATGCAAATCAACTGCAACGGCAATTTGCATATTAAAAGATCATTAATAACTCCCCAATCGATGTGGTGTGGATGATGTGCATAAATTAAGAGAAAAGATAGCCAAAGCAAAAGATTAACTAAAGTGGAAGATGTTTTCATACAAAAACTTGTATGTTTAGGATGAGAAAGCCAGAAAGATATAGAAAAACTATATATAAAACAAGAAAGGAAAGCCGAAGTTTTATACCCTTGCAGTTTGCAATAAAATTATAGTAAACTTATGTATTGGAAGTCGATCATAAAAAATTTGCGTTCTTTAAATCAATATTTATTATTATTTTTATATAGCTAGATTAATTCGGCTGTTGATGCTGATCAAGAATATATATGATTTATAGGGTCGGAAAAGACTCTTTCAATGCGATACAAGCTTCTGACTGAAATTGTAATACCATGCAAGGGTATGAAGATTATACATCTTTACATATTAGTTATTTATTTATTTAAAATTAAGAAAATAAGATAAAAATTAAACTATTTCAAATAGTATACAAATATTAAACCGATTTACCGAACTGTACTTGCCCTCATGAACAGTACCTGGCTTTCGTACCTGATCTAAATTCCAATTCTGTGTGTATGGAACGTGGGCGCAACTTGTTTTTTTTTTTGTGTTATATTATATCGGGCGGGGTCTTTAACCGCCCGTCGCTGGAACAACACGTTGCACATTTAAAAGCGCAAGCATAAATCATGTTAAAGGCAACAAGAACAACGAGAATAAAGCACGGAACACTCATTGACTCACGGACAGCGGCAGCGGGCTGGATGGGATGGGTGTGGTCAGTGGCCCCCAGGTTTTAACTTAGTTCTCGAGCTTCAGAATAATTCATTCAAGAAAACTCTGCCTTCGTTGAATATGCAACG